TGTGAATTTCATGATCCCTGCTGCCCTGGGGCCTGAGGAGTGGGACCAAAACCACTAAAATTAATGCAATCTTTAAAAATCTTCTTCTTTACTCCTGAACATCAAGCAGTCAAACTGTTTGCATGATTGTAATCAGCGATGAGTCCTCTACCAAAATTGTGAAATTCATGGCCCTGGGGTCAGGGGTACTAGTGCTAGGGCGGGGCTAAATAAGTAGGTAGTGAAAATGCATTATTTCTTTGAAAATCTTCTTCTCTGCTCCTGGTTATTAAATAAACCAACTAAGTACATAGTTATGATAAGCAAGAGTACCTCTACCAAAATTGTGAATTGTATGGCCCCAGGGTCAGGGGTTCTGGTGTTAGGGCGGGGCTCTATTGATTATATAGTGAAAATACAGGAATTCTTTGAAAATCTTCTTCTCTGCTCCTGGGTATTAAATAAACTAACTAAGTACATAATTATGATGAGCAAGAGTGCCTCTACCAAAATTGTGAATTTTGTGGCCCCAGGGTCAGGGGTTCTTGTTTTAGGGTGGGGCTCTAATGATTATATAGTGAAATGCATGAATTCTTTGAACATCTTATCCTGTGCTCCTGGTTAATATACTAATGATCTAATTACATATTTAAGGCCAGGATTTATTTTATTTTCAGTTTTACAAACCCTCCGCTCAAGGTTTTGAATTTTCAGAAAAAAATAAAAACATTTTTTTCTTTCCGATGTCAAATTTGAGTCGGGATCAAGATTTCAAATTTACGAACTCACACTTCCGGTTTTACGATGAAACGGCAGGTAAATAAAGCTAGATAGCTTGGTTTAACAAGTGTAAAATTTATTGATACGAGTGCCATTCAAAACGTTTCACCTGTTCAAAGGACAAATAAAATGCTGACGACTTTGTTGCACAATGACATGCTGGTGAGATAATTATGTATTCGTTTCAAAAGTATCCTGTCTGTAAATTATTTTCCTAAACCTAAACATAAAAAAAATGCTGGCCTTATAATGAAGAAAGGGGCCTCTTTCAAAATAGATAATTTCAGGGCCGCTGGGTCAGGGGTACCAGGAGGGTGCTTTGACTAAAAATAAATTAATGCTTTGAAATCTACCCTTTGCTAAGCAATGGTGCCTCCTTCAAAATTTGTGAATTTCATGGCTTTTAGATTAAAACACGAACCAAATACAATTGGTGGAAAGTTGTTACATGATACTCAGGTGACCTATAAGCCCGTGGGCCTCTTGTTAAACATTTCTACACTAAGGGATGTAATAAGAATATAAAGTTTTATTCTGTTTTATACGTAAGAACTCTTCATGTCCCTGTGCTAAAAATAGTGACATGTAATACAATCAATACTTATAAAACAAATGGGGCGGGGCACTTTGAGAGGGGTAAAAGAGGTCCTAGGGACTTTTGTATAAATTACATTGCAAAAGCTCAACATCCTCTTGAAATACAAGGGCTATTCATTAAATAGTGAGACTTTTTCAGTAAAATCAGATATAGCCTTTTATTCTTTTCTATTTTAGTAACATTCCTTCAAAATAATTCCCCTTTACTTAATAACATCTTTGAAGTCGTTTTATCAAGCTTTGGTACACGGCTCTGTACTTCGAAAGCGGTATACTTTTTAGACACTGACACGCAGCTGAACTTTATGGAGAACGAAAATGGAAACTACGTCCACATAGCATTTTTTTAATTAAGGGACTAAGAAAAGTCGCATGGGGATAAATCTAAAAACAAAGCGGGCGATTTAGCTGCTGTATTATATTTCTACAAGAGAAATCTTGTGTGTACTTTGTAGTGTGTGCTGGAACATTATAATGCAAGAGATTGATTCCCCCCCTCATTCAAGCTTTGGGTCTTCTGTTTTTGTAATGATTTTGTACCTCAGGTATTTTATTTTTCGCGTAAACATTTTTTTTAGTAACAATTTTGCCTATTTTTAATTGAATCTGAGCGAATACCTCGTTAGAATAGAAAAGGATTGCATACAAAACCTTCTTAGCTGTTTTGCCGCGTTTTGCAATGGTAGGTCGTTTTCATTGTTTGTCAGCCATATTTTTGTTTTCAGTTTTCCTTTCAGGTTCATAGAAATGTAGCCAAGTTTTATCTCCTGTAACAATTTCAGGTCGACGTATTTTATCCCATTTTCCGATAAATTTTAAAAGTTTTTGAGAATTGTGCAATAGCATCCTTTTAGCCTGTAATTTAAAATATGTGGGATCCACCTCGAAGATACTTTCCTGACTCCTAAACTATCTTTTAAAATCGTACAAAAGTTACCCGATGAAATGTTCAGCTTCTTGGCGATATGATTTGCGGTTACTCTGCCCTCTCTGTCGATAACACATTTACTACTGTGACTGATTTTTCATTGATAACTGATTTGATCCTTCCTGAATGTTTAATATTTTCATCTGCATCCCTACCAAGTTTGAAATGCTTTATCATCTGATAAACGGTTTTCATAGATACTAGAATTTTCATATAGTGACAAGAGTTGTTTGAAAATTTATTATTACGTTATATTTATTAGAAAACAATATTTGGTATACGACCTGATGTTCAAAATGACCTTTCGGGACTTTCGATCTGTTTTCATGTTAACAGTGTCCGCAGGGTGGGTCCGAAAAAGATACTCTCATTGAAAATCGCTTTGTAGAAAGTTTGTGACTAGGTGTCAAATCAATAGTATGGAAGACAATAAACATTTTATCATGTGTTTTCATTCAATCAGGTGTAAAATTTAAAAGGAGAACATGTAGTGTCATTATTTAATGAATAGTCCTCGTATTGCCCGAAAACGATATTGTTACACTCAAACAGAATGTATACATTTATGACCTTGAAGTTTGACCTTTTGACCTCAAAATCAATAGGGGTCTTCCTTAAGCCACAGGTGGCTGAAGTGGAAGTTGTTATGTAAAATTTCATTGTAAAATCTCAAAGGGTTCTCGAGATATCGTGCGGAAACGAAAGTGTTTAAACAGACAGAATTTGCGAATTTATGTCCTTGACCTTTGACCTTTTGACATCAAAATCAATAAGGGTCTTCTTTAGTCCATAGGGAGTTGCTATGCAAATGTTCATTGTAAAAGCTCAAAGGGTTCTCGAGATATCGTGTGGAAACGAAAGCGTTACAGACAGACAGAAAGACGGATGGACGGACGGACGGACGGACGGACAGACCCAAGTTAATATCCCCCACTTTTCAAGCGGGGGACAATATACCCGCTAATGTTGATTGAAACAGTGTATTCAGATCAGGGTGGCTTAATTTGTTTGTCTATAGTGGAGAGGATCAGGCTTATTTAAGGGCTCTTAGTAGAGTAGAGTTTAAGACCGTGTTGTCGTGGATGATGTAGGATGATGAGGAGGTCGAGAACTATTGTTTGAAATATAAAAGCCTAGGCTATATCAACACGGATTTTATCTTTCAAACAACGTTTCTCGACCTCGGGGGATATCCTGCAACATCCAGGAAAACACGGAATTTTTTTTTCTTAAGTAACCATGCATTTTTGCATTTTTAGGTCACTTGGGTCATTTGCTATACGTTTTTCTTTGTCATCGACCGTCTGTGGTCGTACATTGTTCCTTACATGTAAGATAGGAACATTTTCTATGATCGGAATAAGAGTATTGAGCTTCCAAAATTCTAGAATTTATAATCTCAAGGTCAGGAGTTCTGATGCTAGGGCGGGCCTTCGATGAATGCTTAGAGAAAGTGCATTATTTTAAAAAAAATCTCATCCATTGTGTTAAGCAAAAAAAAAATATCAAGAGGAAGAGTAACTCTTTTAAAATTGTGAATATCAAGGCCCATGAGTCAGGGGTCATAGTGTTAGGGTGGGACTTGAATGGCTATAATGTATTGTGAAAATGCATTATCTCATTTGCTGGTCTGGTCTGGTCTGGCGAGGACTAGTCTTACTATTGATTAAATGATTAAAATGCATTAATTCTTAAAAAAATGACTACTCTGGTCCTGATTTAAAAGAAAAAAAACATGTAGATATTTATGTAGAGGAAGGGTGCATCTCTCAAAATCGAGTTCCCTGGTTTAGCGGTTCCGTTTTATTATCTATTATATGATGATGAAACAAGAGTATCAGCAGTCTTGTTTAAAGTCTTCATTTCGTAAGTTTTATGGTCGATACAATGACTTTGTCAGCAAATCCAAATTACCATTGAGAAAAATGCTGACTGACGTTTATCATACTAATAGTTAGTCCATTATTTATACACTAAATTGACCATAGATTTTCCAATTATTTCCTAATCATGACAATGAACACACGGCGGGTGTGACCGGTCAGAAGTGGATGCTCACTCCTCCATAGCACCTGATCCACCTCTGATGTTTCTGAGGTCCGTGTTTACTCTGCTCCTATTTTGTATTGTTTTATGGACTTTAAGATTGAATACTGTTCGTTATCCCCATACCCTCCTCATACTAGTTATGTAGTGAAAATGCATTTTTACTTTGGAACCTGTTTTTTGGTCTGGTGAATCATGTAGATGAGATAAGTGCAAAGTTGTAATGATTAAAGGATTCTTTTTCAAATGATGAGTTTCATGTCCATTGACTTAGGGAGAACGATAAGATAGGCTCTAAAGATCATATAATGGAAATGAATCAATGATTTCAGTATCAATCATTTATGATGGGTAAAGTTGCCTTTTAACAAATTATGAAACATATCGCCCCTCGGTTGCAGGTTGTTATGGGGTTGGACACACTTGATTATCTAGTTGAAATGCATTGTTCTTTGTTATTCTGATCTGCCTTAGGGTATTATGTAATCAAAGTAAGCATGCTAAGTTTTAAGTTATGATGAGCAATTATGTCCATATTCAAAATTGTGAATATCATGGTCTCTTGTTTAAAACACGAACCAGAATCAAACGTTGGTAAGTTACTGCATGGCACTTAGGTTACCTATAATGCCGATTGCCATCTGTTGTAATTGTTTCATGTAACTTTCAGGAGTCTGAAGTGGAAAGCCCAAGATCATCAGAAACACAGTTGATAACTCGATGTTGTCGTGTGTATATGGAAGTTTTATATAAATTCTCCGATCATCTTAAACCAGAGAAAAGCACAAACGAAGGTATTTCTGTCACAAACACACAACTGCTAAAGTTTTAATTTTCTGATTAAAGTCTTATTTTCCAATCCATAAAATGGGTCTAATGATTCTGTCGGGATTCTTATGTATATTATAGAAAAAATACACAAGTGTGACGAATATTTGCCATGCAGATATACAAGTACAATGTATAAGCATTAAGATTTATTCAAACATTTATTTGTCTTAAAAACAACGTTGAAGACACAGATGGGGTTATCATTAGGATATATTTGCCAATCTTGAATTCCTCATCGGCACCAAGATCACGACCTATATTTACCAAAGACTTTATTCGGTAATGACCAATATTTGCCGACAAAATCAAACTTTGACGAAGATAATTAAAATATAATTATGTTCAAAACAGGGGGTTATCTGTGGACTTCAAAGCACTGAATATTTATCTAAATAACTTTTGTGTGGGAAAAAATATAAAACATTTAGCCTACAGTTCTTTTCCCAATGCTATAATGCTACATGTTTATGGCAAAAAAAGGGGGGGGGGTTAGAATGCATGGAAAAGGGAAAAATAAAAAGTTTTCCAAAAACAGGTCCTATAATTTTGTCAAATTTATTAAAAAATAATTGTTCGTTAAATGAAATTGAGTCTATGCATGTGTATTGCTTATAGGTTTTGGAAATTTCTTCATAAATATGCTAAAAAACCAGATGCCATATGATTGCTCATCACAGTGGGAAATCTTGCCAAACGTATCCGAACACAATATCGAAGCTGACATGAAAAGACTTGATAGATTAATTGAGGTTGGACAAAGACTGAAGAAAATGCAAGAAGTCGTTCATTCAAAATCGCAAAACATACAACATGAAAAAGAAATTGAGCATATAGCAGAGGATCTAAAAAAGGTACGAATATATCAATTTAAAAACTAGTGCTAATTGTAACGGGGACCGTTACAGATGTTCCCCAAACGCTCCCCAAATCCCTTTTGGTGCCATATTTCCTGTAAGCTTCATTAAATAAGACAAACTCTGCATTTGAGACTTTAACAACTTTTACCCAGAAGTGTACCAAGTTCAATCAAATTTTAGCATTGCACGCGTGCGCATGTGAATGCATGTGCATAATGATCATATCATCTAGTCTACACAATCTATATATTTCAATATACTAAATATTAAAGTATTTAATCAAAAAGTATTAAAAATACGCTCATTCAAGTGTATTTTTGAATGTACTCATTTCACGTGCATGTACGGGCATACATGAGCATGGTGACCATACCTTATTGTAGAAGTTCATTACATCTATCTATGTTCTAAATCCCACCCCGTTTGGTTGAAAACCAAGGAAGTTATAGCTGTTTTAAGTTTCAGCCAATCAGATTGCAGCCCAAGTACACGCACGTGTATGCATGTGCATGGTGACCATACCTTCTTGTAGAAGTCCATTATATCTATCTATGTTCCAAATCCCATCCTGTTTGGTCGAAAACCAAGTGAGTTATAGCTATTTAAAGTTTGAGCCAATCAGATTGCAGCGCACGTGCATGCACGTGTTTTTATGAAAATTGCTATATATCATGTTGTAGAATATCTTATTGCATGGCAAAGTTCAAAATTTCAAAGGATTTTGTCAAAAAACAAGAAAGATATTGAGACTTTAGTTTCAGCCAATCAGAGCCAAGCGCACGTGCATGCGCGTGAGATCTTGCTATTTTGACCATGTCATATTGTCTGTGCTACTAATATATCCTAATGTTATGAGTTTCAAAGCATTTCATCAAAAATGTAAAAGGTTACGCTTACATTCATTATATTGATCATTTCTGGTGTTGCACGTGCGCGCTCTTGCAAGCACGTGCGCGCAAAATGACCTTCGTTCCACAAATCTACATAACATGTCTACTGACCCTAAAAACATTTCACCTTAGTCGGATGTGTAGTTTACGAGATCATTCGCGGACAAAAAAGTGCCCAGGAAGAAGAAAAATAATAATAATAAGAAACAGAGTAAAAACAATATGTTCCCCAACTTCGTTTGGGGAACATAACAAGTATAAATTGAAATTAAATCAGGCTCAGCATTATTGTTCTTCCTGCCCGATTGTCTGTATAAAATCAACACCAAACTATTTTTGTACAGTTTTCAAACGATTTCATAGCATATCGTCAAACACCCTAACTCCATCATTACCATAGCGTCGTCACACTCGGGAAACTCCGTTCTATGTGTTAACAAATGTGATTATTACGTCATTTTTTGCATACTGAGTATGCAAAATGAAATACTGAGATATTATATTTGTCAATTTCAAGAATGCATAAAAATGTTCTTGCGTTTATCCATGGGTATCTCCAACATGTGCGTCAACAAACTAATTTGCAAATGGCAACCATGTAATGAAGGTGTATGCTAAAGATTTAATATGACATACTATTTTAAATATGGCTAAAATATTTTATGTTGTCGGTCTACATTTGTATTAATGCATAACACGTTGGAGGCTACAACGATGATATAACGTACCAAATCTGGTCGCCCGCGTGGCGCAGTGGTTAGAGCGTCTGCTCTAGAGTCGCGAAGTAAGGAGTCAATCCTTACGTCGCGGGTTCGAATCCCACTGTGGGACGTGGTGACCTGTCTTTCGCATAAGACCGTATAAACCGATGCCCCGTGTCGCAGTAGGTGTTGGCACGAAAAAGATCCCTCCCTGCTGAAAGGCTCTGAGTGCCGAGCATAGGACAAAATTTGTAGCCCTCAACCGGCAAGTGGTGGCGTCTCCATATGAGTGAAAAAGTCTCGAGAGGGACGTACAACATACAACCAATCAATCAATTATACCAAAGCCGTTATATTAACGTTATTCTTCCTTTATACCTTTACTGTCATTTCTCTATATAAATTTGATACCCTCAAACTGCCTACATCTCTGTGAAGAGACTATTTTCCTCATCTGGGACTCTTCCCTCATGGATATTTAATTACATTTTTAAGCAATGGAAATGAAAAGTGGGCAAGAACTCTCTTACTGTGACGCATCAATGTTACTATGAAGTCTAAGGATTTTGACATGCAATGTCAAAAATCATATTTGATTTCTAGCAAAATGCTACAAAATATATCAGTAAAATCATTTATATTTAAGAAATAATTTTGTCATAGGTAACGATGCATAAGTTATCTTACATGTACCATCTTTGGAACCACATGCGTTTGTGAATATTTCGAATGCCTTAATATCTTTAAAAAATGTTTAAAATGAATATACGGTTTAATAAATTGCCTTTGATTGTTTTTAGTATAATAAAACAGTTATTGAATGGGAACTCAGGAAATAGGGAGGGAACCAAAAATTTGCCATTTTCCCCAATAACTGTAAGCTATTGCTGATATATATGTAGCCTAAATAAAACAAAAAATTAACCCTGTTTTATGTAGATTTATTTAAATATAAACAAAAAAAGGGTCAATATTCTTCTTTTGGCGCCTCAGTACATTTCAAATGACGTTTTTTGCACTGAAATGTATGTCTTTTTCTAGCTTCAGTATCTGTAGCGTTATGGTTTTATGTATTTTTGACCATAATGCTACAGATCCCGTAATGCAAAAAAACGTGCAATTTACGGAGCAATTTATTTTGTGCACTTTTAGGGAGAATTTATCAACTTTCCAGCATCGGTAAAATAACTACTTTTCACTCCCTAATTCTTGTCATATTATTCAACTACTCTGTATATTTTATCCAACAGCATGTACATGTACCTACCCTTTATACGTGTAGTCGTCTCTACAAGTGATTAATTCGCTTGATGAAATTTATATGTTAGATTGCTGAATATTCACTTCAAGCAAGTTTATTGCCTGAAACTATAAATGGTTGGGAGGTGAATAAGATACACATATATTTGCTACAGAATGCGTCTATAATTAGGGAGTAAAAGGTAGTTAATTGACCACTGCAAGAAAGTGGAGAAATTCTCCCTAAAAGGGTGCAAAAAATACTGCGCCGTAAATTGTACCTTTTTTGCCTAACGAGATCTGTAGCGTTTGGCCCAAGACAAATAAATATAATATAATATAAAAACATAACGCTACAGATCTGCAGCTAGTCTTTTTTTCAAAAATAACATATTTGACATTTTCCCTCTAAATGAATCAAGCGACAAAGTATGATATCATTTCTCTTAAAAAAGACACGTTAAAATTGTAACAAAAAAATCAAATTGATTTGCATATTATTTTACCTTTGTGCACTCATAAAATGTAATTTTTTCGGGCTTTTAAAATAAAACAAGCAAAAATTCGAATTTTTTTGTTTTAAGTCTGAAACTTTTGCTGAATTTATGCAGATTGAGCAAATATATCTGATATATTCAGAAAAGAAAATCAAAGGTGAGGGTCTACGATGAATATTTTTAGTTTAAAAACTGTTTAAAAACTTTTAAGTTTATTATAAAATTGCCTTAATTTTTTCCCGGACTTATCGAATATATTGACTTTATTTGTCAAAATTTATTGATAGAATTCATAGAAGTATTTCGATATTTTAGAACCAGCATTACACATTTCAATGCCCAAAATTTGCATCATCAGCAGCAAGTATCTAAAAAATGGAATCTAAACTGATCATATTTTAGATTAGATACTATAAAACGAATATTCTTCATTTGTGCTATTTTTCTTTCAAAGACAAATTATATATTTTATGTTCAAGATTCACAATCAACTACAAATACAATATTTTATTGTCAAAAAAAAACTGTCAATGAAACAGTATAATAAGATAAATCAAACTAGTCCATTCTGATCGTTAAAAAAACTTGGAGCTAAGAAGCACGTTTGTACTGCAGCCGTTTATCTGTAACGATACAAATCAACGGGTTTGTTATTATTCGAAACATATCATAAAGAGGTTAATCGCATGTTAATGAAGACGACGAAGAGGTTCAAATTCACAATAGTTTTAAATAGAAATCATAGAGTACGAGATTGTTCAAGAAATTTATTTTTACTCAACCTTAAGACATCTATGATACACACTATATATATATATATATATATATATATATATATATATATATATATATATATATATATATATATATATATATATATATATATATATATATATATATATAAGAAAAAATGACAAGGCAACAATGTTAGTAAAACGTAAGCGCTTTCTTCATTATTTCTTCAGACGTTTTACATTTCAAAACATTTCAAAAATGTGACGTAATAACGTTACCTGTCAGGTAACGTTATTACGTCACATTTTTGAAATGTAAAACGTCTGAAGAAATAATGAAGAAAGCGCTTACGTTTTACTAACATTGTTGCCTTGTCATTTTTTCTTATATTAATTACCGGACACAGTGATATTTCTTTTCATTTTTGGATATATATATATATATATATATATATATATATATATATATATATATATATATATATATATATATATATATATATATATATATATATATATATATATATATATATATATATATATATATATATATATATATATAATCCAAAAGTTTGAAAAAAAATCCACACAAGTATTTAAATAGTAAAAAATAACAGGACGCCGATTAAAACGGTTTCAATTGTATCATCGTGAGTTTTGACATATTGCTATAGATACAAACATTTCAAATTATATTGCGACGTCATGTAACGTAAAAAGTGTTCAGCTTTAGTACAGTTCATTATGTCATTATATTACGTTATTACGTTAAAAATTGGACAAATAATGCGGGAAAATTGTAAATTAATTGTCTATTATGACAGGGCATTTAGCTTTGGTTTAAACAATGAAAACATTTTATTTCATTGTTTAAACCAAAGCTAAATGCCCTATCATAATAGACAATTTACAATTTTCCCGCATTATTTGTCT